GATGCACCCATTGAGGTTTTGAACTTATTTTGCTAGAATGATGAAACTTCTTACGATTTTAATTTTTCTAACTATCATAACAACCAGCATTGACGGATCATTTTCTGTCATGAAAAGGAAAGGAATAAGAACTCTACCTGGGAATATAATTGACCCTTGCCGTAAATTCGATTCAGTAATCAAACTTTTATCGAAAAAAATCTAAAAGATTACTCAAACATTTTTCGATTTTTTGTATAAGCGCCTTCTAAATAAGTTTCTGGCTACGAGCCTATGTTCAAAGCTCTTGTCCATAACAACAATAAAAAACTTCTTAAAGAAAGATATTCGTTAAGAGGATAAAATTTTATTTGAATAAGTTAAAGACAGAACAAAAAAACTATTAAATTCTTTAGGGTCATTAAAATTTATAATCTGGATACACAAAACTACAATATGTTCCTATATTAGATCTGCTTTAATGAATTTAGTGAATATTTACTAGTTCCAGCTAATAAGTATGTTTATTTATCACATTGTGATGTACTTTCTTATTAAGTTTATATCCCATCATATTATGACTACCATTAACTATAACTGATTTTCTAAAATAAGGATGTCAGAGACCTATATATGAGATACTACCCAAAATTTTAATTTAATATAGTTTTAAGTTAGATCAAGTTAATATAGAAGTCCCAGGAAACAGGGATCGCTTTACGACCGCTAACACATTGTAGTACTGTGTTATGTGTTGTAGAATTAATACCCAAAACTAAAAAAATTATCATTCATCGATTTTTATTGTTAATAAAATAACACATATACATTATTTTATGCAAGAAAAATATATATTACTTAATTGTATTTTAAAATAATTTTTCTTGGAAGTTACTTGTATAAAAAAATAAATCTGACAAAAATGTTTTGAAATTTTGGGATAATTGAAGTAAAATTCAGTTGAAATTTATTGATTTCAATAGAATTGTTTTCCGGCTTATGTAGTCTTATTATTTAAAAAAAAAATACACACACAAAAAAACGGATACATTACATTTGTACATACCAAAAAATCTACGACATACAAAATATTGCAGGTATTGTGCCAGAACTTATCAGTAATTTGATTAATTAAATTAATTACGCAGTTAAAACGTCTTTAGTAATCAGCAGCAGTATTTGAGAGATAATCTCGCCGGCCAATATTCGATGCTTGTTTACTCTGTACAGCTTCGAGTTTAGGACAATCGGTAATACGATGACCCAAGCCACCACAGTAACTGCAACCATGTGAGTCTCCCAAATCAAGATACTGTTCTGCTTCTGGACAAAGTTCAACAAGGAATTCAGGCACCTTTTGCTTGGCTTCAATGAGTAAATGTTTTAAGTCCAATAGAACAGATTGCTCTGTTGTTTTATTCACAAAAGTTGTTGCTAAACCTTTCGTATTTGAGCGACCCGTACGGCCAATACGATGCACATAGTTCTCCACATCATCTGGCATATCATAATTGATAACATGTTGCACATTCGGAAAATCAAGACCTTTTGAGGCGACATCAGTTGCGACAAGTACATCTTTTTTACCATCTCTATAAGCTTCAACGGCACGGGAACGTTCTTCTTGATCTTTACCACCGTGTATAGCAACTGCTTCAACACCTAAAAATATTGAAAAATATATATATAAATAAAAAGTAATAACTAGAAGCCTATCTAGGAAGCTGCAGCTTCTGGTAGGATTATAGAGTATTTAATAATATATGTTTTTGTAGGAACATTGCAACTCACCTTTTAATAGCAAATACTCGTGTATGCAATCGACGTCTTGCTTTTTTTCTGCAAAAATCAACACAGGTGGCGCAGTTTTTTGTAAGCATTCTAATAAATATACGACCTTTGCTTCTTGTTTTACGTACTCAACTTCTTGAGTAACATTCATGGAAGCTGCACCAGCACGGCCCACATTGATTGTAACTGGCTTAACTAGCGCAGAGCGTGCAAAATTTTGAATTTTTTTGGGCATAGTAGCAGAAAATAGCAACGTTTGACGCTGTCCTTTGAAGAATGAAAATATTGTGCGCACATCTTCTTCGAAACCCATGTCTATCATACGATCTGCTTCATCCATACATAAATATCGACATACATCAAGTGACACCATTTTTTTGTCCAACATATCCATGAGGCGACCAGGCGTGGCAACCATTATATGCACTCCACGTGATATCACTTCAACAGCTTCTGACACTGGCAAACCACCAATTGCAAGACAAGAACGTATCTCTGGCATACCACTTTCTTTCAAATGACGACTATAATGCTAGAAAAACAAACAACATAACGTTATTTTCATATAATCTGCTGTATATATGTAAAAACTTACCATTATTATATCATGTGTTTGTTTGGCCAATTCACGTGATGGACATATAATTAAACCATAAGGCCCTTCATTTCGCACAAATGGCAAACGATATTCCTGTTCGAGTGCAAACATAACAATTGGCAACACAAATACTAGAGTCTTTCCAGAACCCGTAAAAGCAATTCCTATCAAGTCTCGTCCTGACAGTACGGTAGGTATTCCTTGTATTTGTATTGGAGTTGGGCGCTTAATGCCTCTTGCTGCCAGACCGTTCAATATACCTTTTGGGAATTTCATATCCCGAAAACTAGCAATTGGTGGAGCAACATCATCACCTTCCACCAATATACGTAAATGTTTCCGTATGGCATTTCTACGTTCTTCTGACATTGCAGCGATCGCACGTGGCGGTCGCCAACTTGTTTTTATGGGATCTTCATATTGTATACCTTTCGCCAATTCAGCTACACCCATAAGTGCTTTCTGCTGCGCAACACTTTCCAAAATTTTTTCTTCTTCTTTTAATTGCTTTTCCACTGCGCTTACTTTTTTCGCTTCAGCAATTTTCTTCAATTCTGTGTGTTGATCAAGTAAACTTATATTATATTTACGACCCCAATTTTCTGGATCTGCTGCACTTTGTGAATCTTCATCTCCCTCATTTTCGCTGGAAGATTTCCCTTGTGACGCCGCTTCTGCTGTTAGTTGAACAATACGTCCAAGTTTCATAAGTTTTTGTTTCTTGCGCTCTTTAACCGGCACATATGGTTGATATTTATCGTCGTCTTCATTTTCAGACTCTTTTCTTTCCTCTTGATAATAGCGTTTTTTTTGTGAAGCTGAATCTTGTGACATTATTATATATTGTATAAGCTTAGAATAATCAAACAGTCAGGAGTTTGTTTACAAAGTTGCCTGGGAACTCAAAGCAGCTGATGTAAATAAATCCGTACACAGTGGTATTTCCAAATATTTAGTTAAAAGGTCATAGATGTAGCACTTTACTACTTCGAATGTATTTAATGCGTGGCTGTTTCGACTGCTAAACTCGATGCTTGTTGCTCACTAATATGTGTTATATAAGGTTTTTGCTGTATTATTCTACTTAAATACAATTTCATACTATTTACGTTCTAACTGTTTACATGTTTTTTTCTATCTGTTCAGGTAACTGAAATCACAACTAATGATATAGTAAACCTTGCTAAACTTTTTTTAACATGCTGAACTAGTTTCAAGGTTGCTAGAATGAAAATTTTCCATTTTCTTAATTTAAATCACTAAAAAGTTCACTTATATTAAAAAAGTAAAAAATTCACATTAGTTCACGTATTTAATCATTGAAAATGGATTAGATAAGGTTATAAATTATATAATAATATTTGGGTTCATGGATTTTACGCATTGTCAAAATAAAGATAAAATTTTTCTTGAAATAATTTCTTTAATTAGAAATATATTTTCTTCAAATTTTAAAAATTGCAGTCATACAACACATTTCAGATATATGTCAATTTTGTTAAGTTTATTGACATGCCTGAATTTCGTAGAATGCAAGGTTTTCCTACCTGACCAGTTCATTTTTAACAAATTTTTCCACAGGTAAATTGAATTCTAATTCCGCACACTTTAGTAATAAAAACTATAGCTAAACAGTATATGTTTCTTAACATGTAATTATATGAAATTTTATACAACAATAACTTTCACAATAATATTAAACATATTAACAGTTTTACTAAACACTATTCATTGGAACAAAAACAAATCATACAAACGCTTGACAACATATTTTTGTTATTAGTGATGTTGGTCATAATTTATAAAAAATAATTAGCAACATTATGGTCTATTTTTAAATCGTTTAAAACAGAAATGCATGATATCATAAAATTGGTCCCATAATTAATTGATTATGGGACGATAGTCAATGTGATTTGTAAATTTATCTAGTATTTTATAATAAGTCTCTTATCATAATCTTAGGAAAATACATTATTGTATGTTTAGAACCTGCTGCATATAATACTTATTAATGTGATTTCTAACTTTAAGAAAATCTTGTGAACACGAAATATCATCAATAAAGCAAAATTATAAAACTAAAAAAACTAAAACTGTAAGTCCTCACAACAATTATATTAACTATCAAATAACACATAATCAGTGCGAGATGATGCTTGGAAGAGTGATTATATAATCACATTAACATTAATTGATAGAAATTAGGTGAATTCATAAAATTTTATTTTCTATCAAATAATATAAAAACTCAATTTTTTTAAAGTGCATTAATATAAAAACTACTAACAATTCTAACAAAAGTTATCAAACTATAATAAATAAAAACACTTCATTTATGTAATATTAAACTAATATCTGAATGCTGTTCAGAGTTTATTTTAATGTATTTCTTTTACTTTAAAACTATCTTTCTTAACTTTTTCATAAATCTTTAATTGGTCTTTTTTGCAGAAGGTTATTGTATATTCTTAAAGCTGTATAATTTATTACTACACTTAATATATTATTATTCATGCTAATTACCTAAGAAATATTTGTTTTTTGTGATTGACACATATCTACAGTTAAAAAAAAAGAATATATAAAAAGTTTGTTTGAAAATTTTGTTGAACAAATTTAATAAAATTTTTAGCAATATTTTAAAAAACTTAGCAGAATCTGAGAAGGTAAAATTTGACATAGCATCTTTCTTACAAAATGCAACCATGTAGATTTGTGCTCTCAATGTTTGTCATTTACTTACTGACAGAAATACATATATATCTCGGCTGTTAGTGTGATGCGCATTCAGTGACTACATTCCGAAGTGTAACTACCACAAATTGGAGAATATTTGTTGGTGCGACGGAAATTCAGTGAAAACACATTTAATGCTATAATTACTGCGGACTAAAAAATACAAACGTCAAAATGGCTATGTCCAAAACCACCAATACTTATAATCGCCAGAACTGGGAAGATGCAGAATTTCCAATTCTCTGCCAAACGTGTCTCGGTGATAACCCCTACGTGCGTATGATTAAGGAGCGTTTTGGCAAGGAGTGCAAAATATGCACGCGCCCGTTTACAATATTCCGTTGGTGTCCAGGAGCACGTATGCGTTTTAAGAAGACCGAAATTTGTCAAACTTGTGCGCGCTTGAAAAATGTTTGCCAAACTTGTCTGCTTGACTTGGAGTATGGCTTGCCCATACAAGTGCGCGATGCAGCATTAAAAGTGGTTGACTCGTTGCCACAAAGCGATGTCAACAAGGAATATTACATACAAAATATTGATAGAGAATTAGCGGACGGCGATGGTACAGAGGCAGCTGGAACTGTTGGACGCTCCTTAGCTGCCAACGAAATGCTTTCAAAATTAGCACGTACTGCACCATATTACAAACGTAATCGACCACACATATGTTCGTTTTGGGTAAAGGGTGAATGCAAACGTGGTGAGGAATGCCCTTACCGTCATGATAAGCCTAACGAACCAGACGATCCGCTTTGTGAACAAAATATCAAAGATCGCTACTATGGTCGAAATGATCCAGTAGCTGAAAAAATAATGAAACGGGCAGCTTCTTTGCCAACACTTGAACCACCGGAAGATCGTAATATCACTACACTGTACGTGGGTAATTTACCAGAAGAGATAACAGAACCTGAATTACGTGATCATTTCTATCAATACGGTGAAATACGCTCGATAGCATTAGTGCCACGCCAACAGTGCGCCTTTGTTCAGTACACAAAACGTTCAGCAGCTGAATTGGCTGCAGAGCGCAGTTTCAATAAGTTGGTATTCCAAGGTCGTAAAGCAACTATTAAATGGGCACATTCTCAAGCAAAACAAGTAACTGTTGCCAAAACGGACAGACGCTTCGATCCAAGTACAGTACCACCAGTGCCGCCAGGCAATCCTAATGATTTCTTCAATTTACAACAAGAGCAAGTTTCAGTACTACCACCTGGTATGAAATTGCATCAGATCCCACCAAGCCTAATACCAGCTTCTTATCAGATGTACTCACAAGCATATGCTGCACCATACTCAGGACTACCCTCAACATCAACAACAGCCGGTATCAACACAATATCACCGCCAGCACCTGGACAAGTACGGTACCCTAGCCAAGATCCTAGCCGCTTGGGTGCAGTTAAAAAATGACCAATTGAGAAGAGTTCAACAACTAAAGCCTCTGAGGATTTTCATATGTAATGTCTCTTTTATTGTAATTTTATACAATTTAATAAAATAAGTACATTATTATGTTGAATCCAAAAGATTTTAAAAAATAAAGCTTATTTCTAAATATATATCTCATGTATTAATCGTAATAATCATTTTGTACATTGTATTTTAAATTAAGTCAACAATTAATTTGTTAAAATATGATAAGGAACAGCGCAACATTTACATTTTCTTTTAGAGTAGCTGCGAGTTCACAAGTTGTGAACTCCTTTTCAGAGTTGAGCCTCCACAAAAAACAGAAAAATTTTTATTTTCTGTTGGTACATTAAGAGTCCAAAACTAATTTGGCAGTGTGTGAGGGAAATAGGTAACCCTTTGATTCTGGCACCTGCACTAAATACTGATCGATGTAGCTATCATTGCAATTTATCAAAATCTCTGCAAGTATCTGTTTGCTGCTTATGTTCTTCTTGCTTATGATAAGATGCCGATCTTCGCCTTTGCCATAACTTGTGGATTTCAAAGGAAACTTTCCAGCAATTCTGTAATGAAAAATTAATATTAGAATCTTTACAATCTTTACAAAAGGTTTTTCACACAGATTACTTACTCATGCAAAATGACGCGCTCATCTTTAGTGAAATCTGATGAAAACTGCAGTTCACGTATATCATCTGAATTAATGTAATTCTGAAATATTTGCGTGACATCTTGCCGATTTAAATTTGTATGGTTACTTCCCAAGCCGATGCGATTATTTTTAAATAAATAACTGTTAGAATAAATAAATTTAATAACTTTTTGCTGTTTATGAATTGTGAATAAACCTACTCGACGGGTTCTTCTCTCCCTTGTGTTTTCAAGCCAAGACCACCACCAGTCCAACCCATTGATTTCATAATCTTATAGCCTTTGTTTGTTGGGTCTAATTTCATGTCTGTACATGTCGCAGTCTCAGATTTAATAATATCACACACCACTTTATTGTTCTCCTTTCTGATTTTAATAGCATCACGCGCGGGATTAGCCTGAGATAACATATTTAAAAGATATATTAGAAGGGGTTTGTTATTTTAGTAATGTTCAGTAATATATGTGATATGATGACGATATGAGTTCAGCAATAAAATTTTCTTTCTTTCTCTACTAACAGAGTTTAAAACTTCATACTAAAAGTTTTGTTATATTTTATAATCACGTAAACATGATAATTATAATTCTAATATTCTTTTCATATATTCTATTTTGCTTTTCGAATTTTTTTTTATTTCAATCTTTCAGTTATAAATGTATAAATATTTCAGACAACAATGTAGCTTAGTTGATGCATAGTAATGGATCATTTAGAGTACATATTCAGAACGGGTGAGATTAATAGCGATATGCAGTTATTAAAGAGCTATATAGTAGCTACTAAAGTAGCTCTAGATATATAAAAATATGTAGTGGATCTAGTATATCCTTGGTTCTTGTATCAAATAAAAGGGATACTCTACAAAATATGTTTTTCGTCACTGTACATTGTATCTATAGTTTATTGTCAATGAAGGGATATATCCTCTAATTTTTTCCCTGGATACGTCACTGTATATATGAACAGACTAACCAAAAGAGATAATCAAAAATTATTATTAGATAATTTAATTTTTCTATAGCTGGTTTATGACTTCATTTTAACATAACACAGCAAGTGAAATTGTTAATTAACTTCAAAAATAAATTAACAAAACTTTAAATCAAGTACGGTTTTTGATCAATTGACTAATTCACACTAACTCTGAGCTTTGAATTTGACAAAGTATAAGTTCAATCAATGATACTTGCAGTCTCTGTAAATTATTAATGAATGACTGCTAATGAGTATTTGCAAATTCTCGATATAGTTTATATTATGATCAGTCAAAAAATTAGTTAATTGATAGAGCCCTGAAATTATTTACGAAAACTGGCAGGCTTGCAACACTACGTTATCGAATGTCAGAATGGTTACAGGCTCCTCGGAAAGGTATTCAGATCTGAAGTCAATTATTGCTTAGTCTGATGAAGTGATAAACAATAATCCAGTCAAGGCGTACGTAGAGAGGGGTTATAAAGTTAATAGAAAGTAATAGTACTCAAGTGTACTGGCTCAACTAGTCTTAAAATAATAATAAATAAAATTCACTACCAAACAGAAACCTTTCTATTAAAAAATAATTTATATGAAGGAAATAATTTCTTTTATCATAATTGACTTTAAACATCATTACTTAGATATTTTTTTTAAAAATTGTATCTACACAGACGTGATCTAATATGCTGAATAGGTTGTTTATATAGCGCCTGATATGTGCCTACATTAATGAATTTATTATAGTATAATAGAGTATTTCATAGTAGAGCTTTAATATATGCTTATAAATTGAACCTTTGGTTGAAAACAATACAATAGTTTCTGCTTTATTTTTGGTAGAGGATGTTGATGAGTAATTGATCATCAGACTTTACTGAGTTTGTCACTTTTAAAGACACAGTCATTCTATATTCCTGAGTACAAAAAGAAACTGCATATTGATTATCTCTAAATAAAATTTGTATTTTATAATTTAATTAAAGTAACTTTATATATTGCTACAAGAATACTTTGACAAGACATTCATATTATTCTTAATATAACTTGAAAAGAAGTTACTCTGTAGTGAAAATTGTCGAAAATAGTAGTGGGTAGCTATGAATAGTATTCGTTTGAAGTGATTCACTAGCTCGTAATAAAATTACTAAAAATATTTGAATATTTAGTTACCTCTAATTTAAAATAAATATATTTTTATAAAGTATTCGAATTTATTTATGAAAGCAACAAACCTGAATGGTGTAACAATGTTTTTGCAGCTTCTTCAATGCCTCGTCAAAAGCATTTCTCTTTGCCATTTTCAATGCAACATCTGTGCACTTCGAAACCAATTTGTCATCAATATATATTTGTGCCTCCTTACTAAAAGCAAGAACAAGGACAGAAATAAAAATTAAAACAACAAATAAATTTAATTTATATTTAAAACTGTACCCATTTTCGACACCCAACTCCTTTTCGTTATATTGAATATTGGCACGTTGTGCAGAAAAACGTAAGCAATTCCGACCGCCTTGAAGAAGTAGAATGAATTCATTGTAGAGCAAACCTTCAAATAGATCGACAGGGCTATTTTGTTGCTCAGATGCCGATTCCACAAAGGTCAACTTGTTTCTTCTGGCGGTTCTAGTGTTGCTGCCTGAGCTTCCCGGCACGTTGGCATCATTTTCGTTACCCGAACGTCGTTGCGCTGTTCTATATCCTAACAAGGCAAACCCGATTTATTATTCACACTGTTTTTAATTCAATTTCTACTCACATATAATATGCGTAAATAATATTAAGTTTTTGATTTTCTACCTTTGGCACGCGACTCTGCGGCATCCGAGGCAGATATGAAAGTTCGTTTTATTTTGGTTTCGCGTTGCTTTCTAAACTCTTTGGCCACATCCTTCGAGAGTTCAGCCACCAAACACATTACCTCGTTTGGATATTTGCAGCCCATAAATTCGACATTCGTGAATACTTGCGCCAGGCAAACCAAGCGGTCCTCATCGAATTTGTCTTTATGGGTTATCATGAACTTCTTCCGCAGCTGCCAATGCTCCTCGCTCTCGTAGTCGGTGCGATATTTGTCAACGCTCCAATCATTCTTTGTCTTCTCCTTCGCAGACATTTGAATTTAATATTATAATAAATATTTGAAAAATATACTTTATATTCGAAAAACTATATACACAATAATTTGTACAAATTTCGGTACAAAATAAATAAAACAAACTCAAAGCGTGTCTTCTCAACGTCAACTGAACAAGTACAGACAACGAAAGCAAAACCGCGAAAATGGAAAAAAGGGTTGCGTGTTGTATGTTTTGTAGTTTTTCATTGCATTAGTGTTTACACGCTGCAACATAGATAGTATGGAATTATATTTTCATAATCACATGGCTTAAACATGGTGAACTATAAAGAATTAGCTGTGCCAAAATTCTTCATTTTAAAATTTAAAAAATCTCAATGCTAAGAACAGGAAGCTGATATATAACCAAATAATTCGTCCGTCACTTCTATATGGATGTGTAGCGTTTAGCAAAACTTCAAACACTACGATTCGCCAGCTGGAAATTTTACAAAGTCAGACTCTGAGAAGACTTTTCAAGGTAACATGATACATTAGGACGAATGACATCCTTAAAAACCTCAAGATTGATCCGATCAAAAAATACACAAAGAATAGAGCCCTGAAATTATTTGCGAAAACTAATAGACTTACCAACGCTACGTTATCGAATCTCAGAATGGGTACAGACTCCTCGGAGAAGTATGCAGTATGCAGATCTAAGGTCAATTATTGCTTAGTCTGATAAAATATAAACATTAATTCAGTCAATACGTAAACAGGAGTTTTCAAGATACCTCGAGTTAATAAAGAGTATGTTAACAGTGCTCAAGTGCACTGGCTCAAATAGCTGCAACATAATAATTTATATCGCAGGAATCGATATATCGTGTATGATGATATATCGATTCCTGCGCAACATGTTAGGCATATAGTGTCCTACAACGATTTCAAATGAAGAGTTATGAAGAATAACACGTAAACAAACAAACGTAAACAACGAGAGAAGAAGAAAGAAGTATCGTGCATGCTGTACTTACTTGGAACCTCCAGGGGATTCCTGCCCGTCAGTAGAGACGGGCAAATCGTTTAACGCGTTGAGAGCAATAACACAAAATTGAAACCTGTGGAAAACTTTTGCAGGCTTCCTAAACTCCAAATGGAGTATGGAAATAATAATAATAATACTACACAATATATATATATTTATATTTTTCTATTATTAAAAAAGAAAATTTATTTTTAAAATAACAGCAAACAAAACTACAAAAAAATAATGTGCAAACGTATGTAATGACTTCTGCGCATGCCTTAAAATTACAATGGCTTTCAAACTTTATTCAGCAAATTGTAAGTACAGCGGCTCATATTCATAGTTTGATTTCTGACTACTAGATGCCACAAGGAAAAGTAGCCACCTCCAACAAAGACAACAACCTTTTATATA